ATCCACGTCCCTGCAAAGGACATGAACTCATTCTTTTTCATTGCTGCATTTACTTTATGTATGTATGTATGTATGTACGTACGTATTGAGACAGAGTCTCCCTTTGTCTCCCAGGCTGGAGTGCAGTGGCATAATCTTGGCTCACTGCAACCTCTAACTCCCAGATTCAAGCGATTCTCCTGCCTCAGCCTCCCAAGTAGCTGGGATTACAGGTGCCCACCACCAAACCTGGCTAATTTTTGTAATTTCAGTAGAGACGGGGTTTCGCCATGTTGGACAGGCTGGTTTCGAACTCCTGATCTCAAGTGATCCTCCCACCTTGGCCTCCCAAAGTGCTGGGATTACAGGCATGAGCCGCCGCGCCCGGCCCAATTACACCTATTTCTGATCATTATACCTTTTCTTTCTTTTTCTAATCTTATCGCATTGGCTAGGGCTTTCCGAACAATGTTGAAAAGGTGGTGAGAGGAAAGTGGAGCGAGATACTCACATAGAACCCTCCAGCAATCGTCCCCCACCCCCGCCTCCCCCGCCCAGGACGACAAAACGGAAAACTCCCAAGGTGAGAAAGCACCTTCGTAAGAACCAAAAATCAGATGAACAGTTGCAGCATCTGGTTTTCATATCATCTCAAGAAAAGAGGCGCTGGAGAGGACGGGAAAGACGGTCTCGAAATGCTGACATCACCCATCTCCTATCCCACGGCTCGGAGAGAACCCGTGTGCTGGGGGAGGTAGAGCACACTGATGACAGCGCTTCGCGTTGGTAGGCGGTGCTGCCCAGTCACAGTGGAAAGCAACACAGGGCAGCACCCACAGGCACGGCATTTACACCAGCCCTCGCAAAGCCAAATCCTCAGTCCCAGTGGTGCGAACCTGAGTTCCAGCAAACCACACGCTGCCGGCTAAAGGGCTCTGGAGTCCTAAATAAACTTGAAAGGCAGCCTAGGCCACAGGGATTGCAATTCCTGGAAACGCCCTGGAGCCAGTGGACTTGGGGTGCACATGACCTGGTGAGACAGCAGCGGGGGCAGCCCAGGGAGTGCTTGCGTCAACCCTCACCCACCCCCAGGCTGGCAGCTCACAGCGCTGGGAGAGACTCCTTCCTTCTACTGGATGAGCGGAGAGAGGAGGATAAAGAGGACTTCGTCTTTCCGCTTAGCACCAGCTCAGCCACAGAAAAATAACTCATCCAGCGGCGTCCTGGAGCTCCCTGTTCTAGGCGCCAGCTCCTGGACAACATTTCCAGACACATGCCGGGCCAGAAGGAAACCTGCGGCCTGGAAGGAAAGGTCCTGTCCCGGCAGCATTCTTCACCTCCTGACTAAACAGTCCTTGGTCCTTAAATAAATACCAGCAGTCCAGGCAGTGCTCGCCACGGGCCCTGCGTGAGACTCAGAGCCTTCCTGGCTTTAAGTGGGACCCAGCACATCTCCAGCTGCGGTGGCCACAGAGAGAGGCTCCTTCTCCTTGAGGAAAGCGAGAGAAGAGTGAAGAGGACTTTGCCTTGCGAGGGGGGTACCAGCTCAGCCACAGTAAATAAAGCACCAGGCAGACTCCTAAAGTCCCAGCTGCCGGGCCTTAGTTCCTGGACGGCATTTCCGCACCTGCTCTGGACTGGAAGGGAATCTGCCACCCTGAAGAGAAAGACACAAGCCTGGCCGCATTTGCCACCTGCTGACTAAAGAGCCCCTCGGCTTGAAGAAACATCGGTGGTAGCGAAGCAGTTCTTGCCACGGGCCTGGGGTGGTAGTGGCCATGGGGAGAGACTATGCTTGAGGAAAGGAGAGGGAAGAGTGAAAAGGACTCTGTTTTTAACTCGGGTGTCAGCTCACCCACAGTAAAATCAAGCACCAAGTAGATTCCAAAACTTCCCAATTCTAGGCCCTAGCTCCTGGAAAGCATTTCGAGATTCACCCTGGTTTCTAGACGCACCCTGGGCCAGAAGGGAACCCGCCGCCCTGAAAGGAAAGAGACAAGCCTGGCTGCATTCACCTCCTGGCTGCATTCACCAAAGAGCACCTGGGCCTTAAACAAACCTCAGTGGGAGTGAAGCCACAGTTGCCGCAGGCTGTAGCGGAGACCCAGGGCCGGGCTGGCTTCAGGCCTGACCCAGCATGGTCCTGAGGAGAGAGGCCATTTCTCTTACCGTCTCCTGTCTCTGAAGAGAAGGAGGAAGTAAAAGCTGAAAAACAACAGGAATGAAGGCCGGGGGTAAGGCCAGCCGGCGCCACTGATGACCAGGCCTGCAGTTAAAAGATTAACCCCCGACTCTGACCACATGTGCTATCTGTAGGTGTTAATCGATCATGACCCTGTCACGCGGACCCCTTCAAGTTGTAAGCCCTTAAAAGGGCCGGGAACTCTTTCTTCCAGGAGCTCGGTTCTTGAGACGTGAGTCTGCCAACGCTCTGGGCCAAATAAAGCCTCTTCCTTCTTTAATCCACTGTCTGAGGGGCTTTGTCTGCAGCTCATCTTGCCACAGTCCCAGTGCTAGTGGCCGTGGGAGTGCTTGTGTCGCCCTCCCCTAACTCCAGACAGCTCAGCATGGAGAGAGACTCCGTTTGTTTGGGGGAAAGTGAAGGAAAAGAACAAGAGGCTCCACCTGGTAATGCAGGGAATTCTCCCAGATCTTTCTTGAGACCACTAAGGTGGGGCCTCTATGAGTCTGCCAGAGTCATGGTGTTACTGGGCTTGAGGTGCCTCTAATGCAGATATGACTGCAGTGACCAAAGACTTAGATCACAACCCTCAATTCCCTTTGAACACCAGGAAAGCCTTCTCAAGAAGGACGGGAAGCTGGGCACGGTGGCTCAAGCCTGTAATCCCAGCACTTTGGGAAGCCAAGGTGGGTGGATCACCTGAGGTTGGGAGTTCGAGACCAGCCTGACCAACATGGAGAAACCCCGTCTCTACTAAAAATACAAAATTAGCTGAGTGTGGTGGTACATGCCAGTAATCCCAGCTATTCAGGAGGCTGAGGCAGGAGAATCACTTGAACCCAGGAGGTGGAGGTTGCCGTAAACTGAGATCATGCTGCTGCACCCCAGCCTGGGCAACAAGAGCGAAACTCCACCAAAAAAAAAAAAAGAAGAAGAACAGACCCAAACATGGTGGCTCATGCCTATAATTCCAGCACTTTGGGAAGCCAAGGAGGGAGGATCACTTGAATCCATGAGCTCGAGACCAGCCTGGGCAACATACTGAGACCCTGTGTCTACAAAAAATATAAAACTCAGTTGGACATGGTGGTACGTGCCTGTAGTCTCAGCTACTTGGGAGGCTGAGGTGAGGGGATTGCTTGAGCCCAGGAGGCTGAGGCTGCAGTGAGCCATGATCATGCCATTGCACTCCAGCCTGAGTGGCAGAGTGAGACTCTGTCTCAGAAAAAAGAAACAAACAAAGAAAGATGGGTACACACAAGCACAGACTGTGGAGATTACAATAAATAATTCTTTAATGCCCAGGCATAGACCATCATCCACAAGCATCAAGAGCATCCATGAAAACATGACCACACAAAATGAACTAAAGAAGACATAAGTGACCAATCTCACTGTGACAGAGGTATGTGAACTTTCAGAGAAAAAATTCAAAATGGTTGTTTTGAGGAAGCTCAATGAAAGGCAAGACAACACAGAGAAGGAATTCAGAATCGTATCAAATATATTTAACAAAGAGATTGAAATAATTTTTAAAAATCAAGCAGAAATTCTTGACCTGAAAAATGTAATTGACATACTGAAGAATGCATCAGATCTCTTACCAGCAGAACTGATCAAGCAGAAGAAAGAATTAGTGAGGTTGAAAGCAGGCTATTTGAAAATACGCAAGAAAAATTTCTTTTTTCTTAAAAAAGAAAAAAGAATAAAAAACTATAAAGTGAGAAATAAAATAAAAACAATAAAGGACAACTACAAGATCTAGAAAATAGCCTCAGAAGAACAAATTTAAACATTAGAGGAGGTAAAGAGAGAGATCAGGATAGAAAATCTATTTAAAGAGATAGTAACAGCTGCCAAACCTGTCAATATTCAAATACAAGAAGATTATAGAATACCAAGTAGATTTAGCCCAAAGAAGACGACCTCAAAGGCATTTAATAATCAAACTCCCAAAAGTCAAGGGTGAAGAAATAATTCTGAAGGCAGAAAGAGAAAGGAAACAAGTAACTTATAAGGAGCTCCAGTATATCTTGCAGCAGACTTTTCAGTGGAAACCTTATAAGCCAGGAGAGAGTGGCATGACATACTTAAAGAGCTGACGGAAAAAAAACTTTCATCCTAGAATAGCATATCCAGTGAAAATATTCTGAGGTCAGGAGTTTGAGACCAGGCTGGCCAACATGGTGAAACCCCATCTCTAGTAAAAATACAAAAATTAGATGGGTGTTGTGGCATGAACCTGGAATCCCAGCTACTCGGGAGGCTGAGGCAGGAGGATCACTTGAACCCAGAAGGTGGAGGTTGCAGTGAGCCGAGATCGCACCACTGCACTCCAGTCTGGGCGACAGAGTGAGACTGTCACAAAAACATAATAATAGTAATAATAAAAGAAAAAGGCAAAAATTCAAACAACTAGACAGAAACTGGGCAAAAGAACTGAACCGGCCCTCCACAGAAGAGGAGATGTGGAGGAACAGCTAATGAAAACACGAAGAGGGGCTCAGCCTAACAGGGGGAGATATCACATGACACCACCAGACTGGCAGAAATCCCACAACCCAGACAATGCCAGTGTTGGGGAGAATGGAGAGTAGCAGGAACACCAGGCACTGCTAAGAATGGTTATGAAATATATTTTTGTTACGCTTGTATATGAAAGGGGGTGTGTTGTGGGTTATGAGGAAAATTACATTTCTTACCTGGGATGAAATTTTAAAACTTGAAAGCTACTGACCCGAAGAAACTTGCACGTGTGTAAAAAGAAATGCCCAAGAACGTTCCCAGCAAATCACAGTCCTCAGGGCCCCAACCTGGCCACACACTCACCCACAGGGACATGACGACATTTCCCGTGCTCCCCTCAGACGACGGGAGATCACGCAGCAGTGAAAATGAACCACGTCAGTGTGGGTGGGTCTCAGGGGAGAATGGAGATGGGAGATCACAC